AGATGTGTATTTTGACCATGGTCAGAGGAGTACAGCTTGAACTCCAACGACAGGCTTAAGACTTAAGAAGAAATTGAAGGTTTCAAGCAGCTGAAGTAAGAGCTGTTATTTCATTCAGAACCAACTTGTGTGGTGTGAGAAGTAGTGACCCGGGAGAACGTCACATGTTTGGCTTCTCATCTGTATATAGCGCAGGGTATTATGATGCGAACTGAATGTTCGACATATTATTTTATTAAACACCTTATTTGAATGTATAACTATGTTTTTATGTTGACTATTATTCACTTGTACGTGTACTGTATGTGTGTGCGCAGTCACTAGGCTAACGTGTCAATTGTCTATTCTCAAAACGAGGTAACAATTATTGGGGGCTCGTCCGGGAAACTGAATTCTTGGAAAGTGAATTTTGTTAGACCTACTGCGAAAGAATTTTATTCAACACGTACTTTACAAGTGACTAATTGTTTGTAATGGAATTTGAAAGGTTTATAAGGTTAGGAGAGGAGATAGGACTGGAGGGTGCTGATTTGATTTCTTTCGCTAAAGAAAGAGAGCGGTGTGAACTTGAGAGAGTGAAAGAATAAAGTAGAAGAGAATAAGATAGCAAGAGATGAGCGACAACGAATTAGGGAGTTTGAGAAAGAGAAATTGGAATTGCAGGTGAAGCTCGAAACAGCTAAACAGTCACATGATCATGAAACACTTAAACTTAGACAGAAAATTGAACAAATAGAAATCCAAAGGGCTGAAGAAAAGGAGGCACCTTATGTGAGAGCTCCTAAGCTTCCCGCTTTTATGGAGGGAAGGGATGATATGGATGCATTTATCCATCGGTTTGAGAATTATGCTACTGCGCAGAAGTGGAACAGGGGAACTTGGGCAACTAATTTGGGCACACTTCTTACAGGGAAGGGTTTACACGAATATTCAAAGTTGCAGGGAAATGATGTTCAGGATTATGACAAATTGAAAATGGTTGTGTTAAAAGTTTATAATTTAACGGAAGAAGGGTTTCGGTCTAAGTTTAGATATTCGAGACCTGAATTTAACGAAACAGGGGCACAATTTATGACCAGGTTGTCCAATTATTTTGATCGATGGGTTGATATGTCTAATGTTGAGAATTCAATGAAAGGGATACGGGACTTGGTTGTTCGAGAACAATTCTTGAGCAAATGTAGTAAGGACTTGGACATATTTGTAAGGGAAAGAAAACATAAAAATGGGGCTGAGTTGGTTGAACTTGTAGATCAATATTTAGAAGCTAGAGGACATGGTTTAGGTCAAGCTAGTAGACCCAGCTCTAGAGTTAAGGGGGATCCACTAAAAGGTAATCCAACAGGGACTAGGCCTCCCAGCCCTCATATGGATAGAAAAGAAGGACGGGGTAAAACGTGTTTTATATGCAATCGGCCGGGACATTTTGCTCGTGATTGTGTTCGTAGACCTTCTTTTAAGGGGACACATCCAGGGGGCCGAGGTCAGGGGTACCAAGGGAAAAACATGGGACCTAGTGTCCAATACAATCCTTTGGCTTGTATGATCATTAAGTCATCTCCAGAAAGAGAAGATAAATTTGTAACTTTGAAATGTGGACATAAAGTTCCTGTAATGAGTGTAGCATGTAACACTGGAGGGTTTAGAAGTATGCCAGTAGTGAGTGGTCGTGTTGGATCTGTTCACGTTACGGTATTGAGAGATAGTGGGTGTAGTGGTGTTCTAATTCGAAGGGCTCTTGTGTCTGATGGTCAGTTAACTGGTGAAATTAAAACGTGCGTACTAATAGATGGTACGATACGTGATTCTCCGGTTGCTATTATCGATGTTGATACCCCTTATTTTGCCGGAAGAGTTGAAGCTTTGTGCATGGAACAGCCGATCTATGATTTAATTTTAGGCAACTTGACTGGTATTCGAGATCCTAGTGACCCAGATCCATTGTGGAGTGTCAGGGCAGATGAAGAGAGGGTTGAGAAAAGTGTTACGGGTAATAGAGTGGAAATATCAGCAGTGGTTACCCGGGGACAGCAAATGAAACTTGGGTTAAAGCCCTTTATAACTTTAAAAGATGCCGCACCATTGTTAAACTCTGTAACGAGAGAGTCAATTAGAGATGCTCAGGAGAAGGATGGGTCTCTTGGTAAGATAAAACAATTAGTTTTAAACGGCAATGTGAAATGGGGTAAAAAGGGGAGTCGATCGAAATTTGCAAAAGCAGCTGATGGGTTTATTTACCGTGAATTCCAATCCCCAATCATTGAATTTGGAAAAATGTTCCGTCAGATTGTAGTGCCCCAGCCTTATCGAGAACAGGTGTTGAAAATTGCTCATGAATCCATCCTTGGGGGACACCAAGGGGCTAAAAAGTCTAGTGATAGAGTGTTAGCTTTCTTTTATTGGCCTGGGGTAATATCAGATGTTAAACGATATTGCAAGTCCTGCGACATATGTCAGAGAACAATTCCAAAAGGGCTACTTAAAAAGGTTCCTTTAGGGGGTATGCCATTGGTAGACACTCCGTTTGATAGAGTAGCAATGGATATCGTGGGACCAAGGTCGGGACGGGGTAACCGATACATTTTGACACTAGTTGACTATGCTACTCGATACCCTGAGGCAGTTGTACTCCCTAGTATAGAAGCCGAACGAGTTGCTGAGGCAATGGTGAATGTCTTTTCCAGGGTTGGGATCCCTAAACAAATTCTAACTGATCAGGGTGCTCAATTCACATCTCAAGTAATGAAAGAAGTGAGTAGGCTCTTATCCTTTCGTCAAATGACGACCACCCCGTATCATCCTAGTTGTAATGGCTTAGTGGAACGTTTTAACGGAACACTCAAACGTATGTTAATGCGCATGTGTGAAGAGAAACCCCAAGATTGGGATCGCTACTTAAACCCTTTACTTTTTGCTTACAGGGAAGCTCCTCAGGAGAGTACTCGATTCTCTCCATTTGAGTTGCTATATGGCCGGACTGTCCGGGGTCCCCTGTGCATATTGAAAGAATTATGGTCGGGTGAGGTGGGTGAATCTGAAACCAAAACTACTTACCAATATGTCCTGGATCTTCGAGAGCGGCTTGAAAAGACATGTGACTTAGCGCAGCAGGAGTTGACAAAGTCCCAGAAAAAGTACAAGGGGTACTACGATCGAAAAACCCGCCCTAGGCAGTATCAAGTTGGAGATGAGGTGTTGTTACTGCTCCCCACTGACAAGAATAAATTATTAATGCACTGGAAAGGGCCATTTCCAATAACTAAGAAAGTAGGTGTAATGGACTACACCTGTCTCTTATACACATCTAGATGTGTATAAGAGACAGCTGTATAAAGGAAGCGAGTCTCACTGCTGATTAATTATTCAATAGTTATCTGACGTCATTTTAGGCTTCCTACATTCTGATTGGCTAAAAGAAACATATATTTGCTTATGTATACTGCAGAAAAAAAATACGCGGTCGGGACGGGGTAACCGATACATTTTGACACTAGTTGACTATGCTACTCGATACCCTGAGGCAGTTGCACTCCCTAGTATAGAAGCCGAACGAGTTGCTGAGGCAATGGTGAATGTCTTTTCCAGGGTTGGGATCCCTAAACAAATTCTAACTGATCAGGGTGCTCAATTCACATCTCAAGTAATGAAAGAAGTGAGTAGGCTCTTATCCTTTCGTCAGATGACGACCACCCCGTATCATCCTAGTTGTAATGGTTTAGTGGAACGTTTTAACGGGACCCTCAAACGTATGTTAATGCGCATGTGTGAAGAGAAACCCCAAGATTGGGATCGCTACTTAAACCCTTTACTTTTTGCTTACAGGGAAGCTCCTCAGGAGAGTACTCGATTCTCTCCATTTGAGTTGCTATATGGCCGGACTGTCCGGGGTCCCCTGTGCATATTGAAAGAATTATGGTCGGGTGAGGTGGGTGAATCTGAAACCAAAACTACTTACCAATATGTCCTGGATCTTCGAGAGCGGCTTGAAAAGACATGTGGCTTAGCGCAGCAGGAGTTGACAATGTCCCAGAAAAAGTACAAGGGGTACTACGATCGAAAAACCCGCCCTAGGCAGTATCAAGTTGGAGATGAGGTGTTGTTACTGCTCCCCACTGACAAGAATAAATTATTAATGCACTGGAAAGGGCCATTTCCAATAACTAAGAAAGTAGGTGTAATGGACTACACTATTAACTTGGGAACAAGAGAAAAAACATTTCACGCCAACCTTTTAAAGAAATATTATCGGAGACCTGTAGAACCATTGGTGAGTAGCATTCTCGAAATGTCGTGTGCTGCGATAATAAATGAAGATGACCCTGTGAATGAGGAGAGTGTGAGAGAGAAATACATGAACTCCATTGATTTTCCTGTAATGGTTTGCAAGGAATATGTAGTTGATGTACATGTTGGTGAAGATTTGACTGCGGAGCAACGAACAAGTGTGAGTGAGCTTTTGGATCGTTTTGAAAACACACTAACAGATGTGCCGGGTAGAACTAATCTAGGGTGCCATGATATTCAGTTGACTGATTTAACTCCTATCCGAACAAAACCATATCCAATCCCGTACACTCTTCGGAAAATTGTTGATGATGAAGTGGAGATGATGTTGAGAATGAAAGTGATTGAACCTTCTATTAGCCCATATAGCCATCCCTTAGTTATAGTGAAAAAACCTGATGGGAGTTACCGAATTTGTGTAGACATGCGAAAACTGAATTTGGTTACCATATTTGATGCTGAACCAATTCCTCAGCAAGATGATATATTAGTTCAGTTAGCTAAGGCCCGTTATTTCTCGAAAATAGACTTGAGCAAGGATTATTGGCAGGTCCCATTATCAGATAGGGCTAAACCATTGACTGCTTTTAGTACCCGAGAGGGTCTTTTCCAGTTTCGCATGATGCCCTTTGGGTTGATTAATGCTCCGACATCATTTAGTCGAATAATGAGAAAGTGTGGGTTACATCATGTTGTAAATTACATAGATGACATCCTTGTTTTTACTGAAACGTGGATAGAACATATTGAAACACTCTCAAATTTGTTCATACGCCTAAAAGAGGCAAATCTCACAGCTAGGCCAACGAAGTGTTACATTGGATTAGAAGAAGTAGAATTTCTATGCCATTTAGTTGGTCATGGGTTGTACCAACCAATACCAGGCAAATTGAAGTCTATCCAAAATGTGGAAAGACCACGGACCAACAAACAATTGCGCTCCTTTCTTGGGTTAGCCAACTACTACCGTAATTTCATTCCTAACTTTGCCGCTATTGCAGCACCATTAACGGATAAGACCAGGAAAGGGGAGCCCAATAAGTTAATATGGGAAAGAAATCAAATAGTAGCATTTGATGCTCTGAAATGTAAATTAGGTACGTCTCCGATTTTGCATTTGCCTGATTTGAACAGGATGATGATTTTACGTACTGATGCATCCAATATCGCGTTAGGAGCAATGCTTTTACAGGAGTTTGATGGACACAAGTTTCCAATAGCTTTTATAAGTAAAAAGCTGAATCAAGCTCAACGTAACTATGCGACTATTGAACGCGAATGCCTAGCGATTGTATGGGCAATTCATAAATTTGAACCATATTTGTACGGGCGAGAATTTGTCATAGAAACTGATCATCAACCATTGTTATGTATGCCGAAATCTAAAGTTGCTAATGGTTGAATTATGAGATGGGCATTGGCATTGCAGCCTTATCGATATAAATTGCATATTATTAAAGGCCGCCAGTGTGTAGGGGCTGATTTCATGAGCCGAATACATGGAGAGGATGATGTGAGTGAGTAGAAATGAAATGGGTACAAGCGAGTATAGCAAAAGTAAATGTATTGGTTATATATTGTTATAGTTTTTAAAATTATTGTTTTATGGTGCACTCACTGTATAGTGCATCAGCGTAATGAATATTTATGACTTAATGGTTGTTTGTGTTCATTGTGTAGAATCAGTGTAATGAATATGCATGAGTTAATGGTTGATTTAGCATTACTCCAGGGTAGTTGAAAGTTTCATGAATATGAATAACTTTTAGGCAAGTGGCAACTTCTGCTAAGTGTAGAGAAAATGGGTGGGGGAATATTATGTTAATTTGTGTTAGCAGGGGTAGGCTTGATAGAGAAACCAGAAGGGAGAGGTAGTTGCATAAGGAAAGGCTTAATGGAAGGGTGTAAGCTGTGGCACGAGAGGCCTACGCCACCGCTCGGAACGGAACTACCCTATAGCTTAGGATCGACTGACCCATGTGCAACGGCTGTTCACATGCTGTCTCTTATACACATCTAGAGCATCACAGTATTGTGCAACTCATATATAAGAGCCAAGTGGAGTTAGTTTGACCGTGAGTAACGTTAATTGTTTACTGAATAACGTAATGGGATAGATGTAATTGTAATATTGCATAGGGTTGAATAAATACAGGAATGTTGAATGTACCTGTGGTATGCATTATTAATGTAATATGCTTAGATTGACTTTGGATCTATGCAAATAATATTGTGTATTGATATTTAGACGTCTTTAATACTTACTGTACACTTTTTATGGGCGTATGTATACAATTGTACAGCATATTGGTAGCATAAAGCTATAAATTAACCATTTTATTAATATGAACGTTAATCATGTTCCAAAATGCTTGAAATGATGTTTGTTTAGGATAGCTATTCTAGAAAGGTGTATTTTGTTAATTTTTAGATGGTCAGAGGAGTACAGCTTGAACTCCAACGACAGGCTTAAGACTTAAGAAGAAATTGAAGGTTTCAAGCAGCTGAAGTAAGAGCTGATATCTATTTCATTTAGAACCAACTTGTGTGGTGTGACAAGTAGTGACCCGGGAGAACGTCACATGTTTGGCTTCTCATCTGTATATAGCGCAGGGTATTATGATGCGAACTGAATGTTCGACATATTATTTTATTAAACACCTTATTTGAATGTATAACTATGTTTTTATGTTGACTGTTATTCACTTGTACGTGTACTGTATGTGTGTGCGCAGTCACTAGGCTAACGTGTCAATTGTCTATTCTCAAAACAAGGTGACAATGATTACAGGTTTACATTGTACCAAGGTCAATATTAACGATCGCATTTATTTTTCATTAAAAATT